TCTCATTCTTTGACTTCGCCGATTTCGATGATAAAAAGAGAAATCCAAATTGTGAAAATTTGACCTGTCCATGTTGCCTTGATTGCATTCGGCCATTTGACATTTAACTTGTCTCTTGATGCATTCAGTCCTTGAAGATAAGGCTGTTCTTGTTTTGACACTTGCTGCCTTTAGAGCATTTCTTTGTGCATCTTGTTTCTATGTTTAATTCTTGTGAATTGCAATCTACGCATTTGGATTAGTTTCGGATCCATCATCCACCTCGCCGTGGAGCTCGGGCTCAGAGGAGCTTGAAAGGGTGGGGGGCGCGGTGCATCCACAAAGGTGGACGGCCAGGGTTCATGTGGCCCGTTTTGCCTGAGGAGGTGCTGGCAGGATTCCAAACGGAATATGGAGACCCACTCAAGTTGTCTTGTGCTTTCGATGATTTGGATATGGCCTCTGATTTAGTGTTTGCATTATTCCCAGATGCAGTCCCTGAGCAAATTGCTGATTGGGCTGCCATTCTTGAGACGTGGAGGGTTGACAACCAGAGGAATTTTAAGAGGGCAAGCCTTGAGAGGGTTAGTGCAGTTCGGTTTCGCCTCCCACACCCTGATGCGATGACGGTCGGAGACTCATTTGCACATATCACGCAGACAAGCTCGCTTTGTGTGTTAGACTTCATTGCAAAGAAGCGGATGAAGGGTTATAGGGATGAGGCGCCTGATGCCAGGACACGTAGGTTTGAGCAGGAGCGGAAGAAGTATTCACGGCTTCTGGCCAATGCGATCAGGGAGGCTCGCCTTCCAGTGGCTCAACTGGTTCAGACCTTAGATGATCCTGATTCAGCTTGGATCCACATCTTTGCAGCTAGGAGGGCTAATACTTTGAAGAACCGCTATAAGGCTTGGGAACCGTTTCGTGATTGGTTGGAGCTTCATAGGGGAAGATGTTTTCCAACGTCTGTGAGGGACCCTATCGACTATGTTCAGCATCGCGTTGATGACGGTTGTGGCAAGACAATTCCAGAGTCTGTGCATTTGGCATTGGGCTTGATTGAACAGGTTGGCAAGGTACCGGAACACGATCGCATTTCGTCGGATGAGCTTTGGAAGTCGCATGTCAAATCCTGGACTGCTGAGCTATGCGAGGAGGCACCGCCGCGTCGTCCTGCCGAGATGTACACAGTTGTCATGTTGATTGCGCTGGAGATTTTTGTGATGGATGACAGTTTGAGGCTTTTTGACAGGGCTTTGGCTTGGGTTGTGTTGTGTATGGTTTGGGGTGCAATGCGTTGCGACGACGTTCAGGCGGTCATTCCGAGTCGCATGGTTTTCTCCAACTATGGCCTTAGATTGGTTTTGGGGAAGAGCAAAACCTCTGGTCCTGACAAACGGCAGAAAGAAGTTTCAGTGCACATTCATCGATCCATTTCGCTCACGGGTCATGACTGGCTGAGGGAAGGCTTCGACATTTGGGACAGTGAGCCGTTCAGTTTCAGGAGGGACTTTTTGGTCATGGAGCCCGTCAAAGATTTTTCTGGAGGGAGGAGGAAGTTCCTTCCACCTGACGGGTTGAGCTCACTGATACTGAAGTTGTTGAGCGACCTCCCTGTCCCGAGGAAGACAAATGGTGGCTGGGAACTCAATCATTCGATCCTTTTGCTTCCCGATGGCCTTGAGTCATTTTTCTCTGGGCACAGTCCACGAAATTTCCTGACCTCTGTTGCAGCTGTTGTGGGTTTTTCAAAGGATGAGCGGGCTTATTTGGGAAGATGGTCCATGGGCATGGTTTCATCGGAAGAGTACGTGCGGACTTCCCGACAGATCGTCTTCAAGATCCAGAAGGAGGTGAACCGGGCCCTTGTTGAAGGGGCCCCCAACCCGTATCTGGAGGATGAAACAATTGATCGCCTTCTCCAGGCGGCTGAGTCGAGGGGGATGAATGCTGCGAGGCTCAAAAGGAGACATGTGGTGCTCAACCCTGTGTTTGGCCTTGGAGGGGTGTATCCCACTCTGGTTCCACGGGACGACGGGTGGGAGTGGGTGGACGACGAGAAGGACGCAGGTGATTTGACTGACAGAGTCGACAAACATCGATTGGCTAGCAACAGTGCTGCACAGGTTGTGACTAAGTTCTTCATCACGATTTCGCGACGCGCTGGCTTTCGGCGACTCCACTTAGTGGGATGTTTCGTGAAGCCAGATAGGTGTTGCGAGGTTCTTTACACCAATGAGGTGACCCTGGAGGACTTCGATTCAGTTTGTAGGACTTGCAAACGCAAGATGCTGGCTGAAGGGGGCAAGGAGCTCCAGGCGGAGTCGAGCTCGACGGCGTCATCCTCGTCCACGGACACGAGTGGGCCCGAGTGAGTTTGAGATTGGGTGAAAATGCTTTGAGTTCTAGTTTGTGATTGGGTGAGAATGCTTTTTGGTGCAACGGTGTCTCGGCAAATTATCGAGGGCCAGATCCCTTTTCCAAGGCTTGCGGATCACCATTTGGCCCTAGATAATTTGGGCCGCTGCCACTGGACGGTCTCAGGACTAATTTCGATGCATATCAGTTGTGGGCTCAAATGCATGCAGTCCGGCGTTTGAACCGGAATATTTGCACTTCTCCATGGTGTGTTTTGACACGTTGTGGTTTGAGTGTTATTTTGATCTTGTCCAAGGCGTGTTTGTGACTTTTCACCTCAACTTAGGCAGTACTTGTTTAGACATGTACTGAATGGGTTCAGACCCTTGAGAGTTCAGACTCGCACGGGACTCGGGGGAGTCGAGCCATGGCTCTTGATGATGCGGCCAGGAGGGCCTATGTAGGGAATCATATGGATTCGGATCTTCAGTTCATCTTAGGAGAATCTGGAGTTTCTTTGGCCTCTCAATATAACATCGCTCAGGCGTATACTTCTCTCAGGAGATTTAGTGCTGTTGCTGATGACAGGGCTGGGGTGAGAACTGTTTGCAGAGATGATTTTGGAATTCCCGGAGACACGCCCCAGGGACGGGCCGAGGCGGCCTCTGTGATTGCAGCTTGGGAGACATCAAAGGAATACATTGCCAAGGAGGTTGAATTGAGAGCTGAGTCGAAGGTCTTGAGACAGCCGCGTGTGCTTCAGGTTCACGAGCGCCAGGCCATGATTCGTGCAGTTGAGGCTGTGCATGGGTCTTTGAATGAGGCTGAGGCACCATTACAGGATTATTTGTCCTTGAAGGCCGACGAGACGGAGACAAACGAACCTGTTGCAGCACAGCTAGACGAGATTTTGAGTAGGAAGGATTCGTCCAATGCTGCCATTCAGTCTTCTGTTGATGCTTCAGGTCATTTGCGAGTGACTCGGACAAAGACCAAGGCGAAGATGCCAGTCACGACCGAAGACTATAGGCGCATTATGAAGGTTGAGATGTTTTCTTGGCTTTGCATGGCGGCACGTTTTCGCTCCAAGCATTGGCTTCACGGCCTGACTGCGGAACCCTTTCTGAAGTTTGTTGATTTCATTCTTGGTGATAGGGTCTGGGGGATTCAGGTTCCTTCAGCTGCAGGTGAGGCGCAGCGTGTCAAGCCAGATTGGGCAATCGTCTTGGCCTTTGAACACAAGTTGAGAAAGGAAGCAATGAAGAAAGTCACCAATGAAGGCTTCACTCTTTCAGATGCTTTAGCAGCCGTGATTCGTGATCCTGATTTGAAAGAGGCTTATTTCACTACCCCTATTGCTTTGAAAGCCGCAACCAGCACAGAGGCTCCACCGAACAAATGGTTTCGTCTCAACGACAAAGGTAACAAAGGGAGGTGGGGCCAAGGCGGTGGCTCCTCGTGGAAGGGGGCTTCTAAGGGGAGTGGAAAAGGTGGTAAGGGTAAAGACAAAGGGAAGAATCAGGATTCAAGGTTGGCAGGACTGTCGTTGGTTTGGAGGACACCGGACAATCGTGATCTCTGTTTTGCATGGAATGCTGGCACTTGCGAAGGTAAGTGCAACCGTGTCCACCAATGCCGCGTGAAGGGTTGTTATGCAGACCACCCTGCCATCCACCATAAGGAGAAGACGGCGGCCTGACAGGCCCGGGATTCGTCCGGTTCCGGCTCTGGTCGGGTCCCTTCCAATGTAGGTACTGTCCCTTTGTTGAAGGTGATGTACTTGTTTGCCGGAAAGCGTAGGCACTCCGATATAGGCTCAGTGCTTCGCGATGCCGAAAAGGCGGGTAAAATCCGCTTGGAATTGCATGAATTCGATATAGAGCGATCTCCTGATCATGATCTTCGTAAAGCGTCGTTGTGGTCTGAGATTTCTGCATGCATCTCAGAAGGTGGTTGGTTTCTCATTGTTTCACCTCCATGCAATACTTTCAGTCGTGCCAGGTTTCAATATCTGAAGCACCCAGGTCCGAGGCCTTTGAGGAATGTGACTTGGCCTAAGGGGTTCCCTTGGCTCTCCGATTCGGATAGGCGGATTGTGGATGAGGCAAATTTCTTCGTGTCCAAGTGTTTTGAGCTTTGCCTTGAGACAGTCAGGGCGAATGGACATTTTCTCTTGGAGCATCCGGAGGACTTAGGCCTTGTTCAGGACGAGCGGCCAGGATCCATTTGGCAGTGGCCTGAGTTGCATGAGTTGTTGATTGTGACACATTTGTGTTGCTTTGCCATTCATCAATGCCAGTTTGGTGCAGACACACCCAAGCCTACGCGTTTTGCGACCTCGATGCCAGTGAGCGACCCCAGATGCTTTTGCTCGTTGCCCGTCTTCGACAAGGTCGGTCGCTATCTCGGTCCATTGCCTCGCGATTGCGGGCGCCAACATACGGTGCACTTGATTGGCAAAACAGACAGTGGTTGGAAGACGGCGCCCAGTGCCGCATACCCTCCCGGTCTTTGTTCTTTTCTCGCTCAGTTGATCCTTGATGTCGGAACATCCCTTCGGAAGGGGGGGCTAAAGGATAAACCTCGCTCTCAGTCATCCATAGGGGGGCACCCGGCTAAGAAGCCTCGAGCAGCTGAGCCAGTGGGAGACTTGGACAAACCAGCAATTGCACAGGCCTCTTTGGGGGGCTTGGACAAACCAGCAATTGCACAGGTCTCTTGTGTGAACAAAGCAACAATTGCACAAGAACCTTGTAAGGACTTGGGCAAGGCATCAGTCACTTCGAGTCAGCCAGCGCAGTCTTCATCCGGAGATTGTGGTTCGCCTTTGGTTGTGATTGATTTGGAAGACGATGAGGGCAACAAGGGGGCAGTGCCTCTGGAGGATTCCCACGACTCGTTCGACGTGCAGGCCTGTTTGAATAGGGGGACCCCGATGGTCGCTGAGTGGGACAACAAGTCTCATGAGTTCATTGATGGTTTTGGGCTGTGCAGCCCCACTCGTTGGCACCCGCTGGCACGGGGTGAGAGGCGCACTCAGGTTATGCGTGACCTTGCAACCAAAACCTTTGAGCTTTTAGAGGCCTTCGTGGTAAAGCTCATTAGAAATCCCAGACAGGATGCCTTCAAACTGGTCACCGGCAAGTTGGAATCTTCACCATTTCCTCAGTCTGATTTGCAGGACCTTCGAGTGGCTTGGGCGCAGCTCCTTCCAGATCCAAAGGACGCTCTTGTGGTAGAACCGGGTCAGCCCTTTTCATTGAGGGCGATTTCCCAGTGGTTGAAAGTCTTTGAGGACCCCGATGTGTCTTGGTTGGTGGACGAACGGGACTCGTTTGCTTCAGGGGTGCCGATTGGAGTTGACGAGCCGCTGCCTCGGTCACCGCAGGTTTTCGGACCCAAAGTGCGCCACAGGAAGCTTGATGAATCCGAGTTTAATCCCCTTGCCTTTAACTACCCCTCGGGTCAGCTTAGTTGCAAAGAACTCGAAGAGAAGTTTAGGGAAGAGGAGTCGCTTGGTCGGATGTTTCCTTCTAAGCTTTCGGTCCTTAGGAATAAGTACGGTGATAGGGTGAGGGTGGCAGCTATGGCTGCGATCACCAAGCCGGACGGATCGGTCCGCCCGTTGCACGACGCGACCCATTCTGTAAAGGTTAACCACGCCATCCTTTATAGAGATCAGATTCAGTGCCCAGGTCCTGCAGAAATCGCTGCGGTAGTCAGGATTGCCGTGGAGTCTGGTGAGGCTCCCTTTTGCTTGTCTGCTGACATCAAAGCGGCCCACCGTCTAGTTAAGATTAGGGAATCGGATTGGGGCTTCATGTGCTGCCGTGCTGACTCTTCGTCTGATGTCATATGGGTCAACAAGACGGGGACCTTTGGCGTCTCTAGCGCCCCCTACTGGTGGGCGAAGCTGTGTGCCTTGATCGGAAGATTCGTAGGTCACCTGATGCAGACCTCTTGGTTTCTCCACATGATTTATGTAGATGACTTGCATGGAGTTTTCGTAGGCGAGCGCAAATTCCTGAACTTGTGGATTTGGTTGCTGGCCTTTGAGATGGCCGGTACTCCCTTTGGATACCATAAGTTCAAAGGGGGGTTTGCGTCTGAGTTCGTAGGTTTCCATCTTAGGTATGATCATGCGGAAGTAGGGGTCAGTGAGAAGAGGGGGTCGTGGTTGGTCCAGTGGATCAAAGATGCAGAGGCAAATAGGTGGGTCGTCCAAGCTCGGAGCTTTACGGAGTTCCTCGGGCGTTTGTCCTTCGTTGCACAGCTTCTTGTTTGGATTAAGCCTCATCTTGCCCCATTGTTCGCATGGTCGGCTGTTGTCGGCTCAGGGATGGTGGGGCGGCTGCCTGATACGATTATCCTGACCTTGAAGTACTTGCTCGTCGAGTTTGGTCTGGAATCTTTCAGGGTTTCGGTGAGGGCGCCTGTTGTATTTCCGGCTGAGGCCTTTCGCACAGACGCAAAGTGCACGGACGACTTTGTGGTTCTTGGAGGCTGGGAGATCAAGTCTCGGCGCTGGTTCTCGCTGAGGCTCTCTCCTGACTGCGTGCCATTCCTGTTTCGCAAAGGGTCAGGGGCCCAATGGGCGTCAACGTCAGCGGAATTTTTGGCGTCCTTGGCGGGGCTGCATGCCTTCGGTTGGTTGGCCCCCTCTCAAAGGAGGAAATCTGCAGTTGTCGCTCTTTCGGCGGGTACTGATAATCAAGCCAATGAGGCGCTGTCGGTCAAGCGCTCGTCGACCAAGTGGCCACTGATGGCAGTGAATATGCAGCTTTCGTCATCCCTGGCCAAGGCCAGACTTTCGCTGAGGCTTAAGTGGCGTCCGAGGGATGAGAACCAAGAGGCTGACGATTTAACAAATGAATTGTTCGAGGCCTTCGATCCAGCTGATAGGGTTGTGTTCACATTGCAGGATATGGACCTTTCGATCATCCAGGAACTTGTTCGCACGAGGGCAGCATTCGATGTGGCGCGTGCAGAGGCCAAGGCTGCGAAGGGTTCTGGTCGTTCCGGTCCCACTAAGCGTTTCGATAAGTCGTCTTGGTAGTGTGCCTTGGTCCTTCGCGTCTTGAACACTCGCTAAAGAAGGGGCCGGTCTTTCGTGTTCCAAGACACGTCCAGTTGCAGTTGCTTCGTTGGCATATGCTTTAGGCATTTGACCTCTTAGCTTTGACCGGCCAGACCTTGGCGGGGCCATACCACCTTCGCAGCAAAAAGATGTGCGGTCACTTTCGGACATTCTTCGTTTCGGCTTTGGATGTGAATTTGATTGGTGTGTTTGATAAGTTGAGATTCCATGCATTCGCTAGTTGCTTTGGCGTCCACCTTTTTACCCTTTGTGTTAAGACAAACGCACGCGGGAGCCCCCC